ACACAGTGAGAAAAAGATTTGCAGAATTTTGAAATGCCTTGAAGAATCTTTCCAGGAATGGAAATGGCTAAAGAACTTCTGTTTTCATGAAAGGAGTTAGGACCATTTCTTTATTTCTGTCCTACACATTTTTTTTCAATTATTAAACACAGAGGTGCACCAATTCACAATGTTAATCTCTATAACTTCGGCACAATACAGGGTCAGGGAGTCTTTCTGAATATTCCATGCATCACAGACATCGTTCAAACACCCAGTTATCCCAGATGGGGTGGCAGTCCTTCTCTAGAGGAACAGGCTCAGTACAGTGCTCAGTACATTTCTGTCTACATTTCAGTGGTTCGAAGGAGAACGGGCAAACGGGAATGCAAATGCTCTGACACAAACACAGAAAATCATGTGCAGACAGATTTCCACCCCCATCAAGAAGCGTTGGGATTCAGGAAGAACAATGAACAGAGCGATCTGAACATCTTTGTTTTAAGTTCTGCTTGACTCTTCCTTCCAACAATTGTCTTCTAATATTTGTGGATTTTTCCTTCAATGCATTCAATGACAATGAACATGTTTCTGTTACATGTTACAGCTCTGTTCAGGTACAGTCTACCCTAACACCTTTTGTGCTGCTGTATTTCCAAGGCAATCCTGAGGTGACAGAACACCCAAGCCCTTCTTGCAAGCCAAAGGAAAATTTAGTTGCACATTTTGTTGCTGGACTCTGACTAGATAAGGAAGATGAGACTGCTGCACTGAAAGGGCCCAAATCCTTCCTTCCCTGCTGAGCTGGAGCTGCCTGTGCTCCAATGGCCGGGTGGGAGCAACTCCCTGCTTCACCAGGCAGCACTGCTGAAGCATCTGCAGATATTCAATGTTTGCATACAGAGCTCCCATCTCAGACAGAGACATCCAGAACTCAGGGAAGAAAGGGCCTAGTGCTCACATGACATGCTGGCTCAATACTCATAACTTCCTTGCTTTCAAGAAGCATAACAAAGGCCATTTTGCATTTCAGTGAGGATATGATTTGTTTGGCCAACAGTGACATCATCCTAAAGCTCAGAACTAAAAGATCCTCTGTCTTGTCAGAGAGCCAGAGAAACAAGAGCATAGCTGTGAGTGGTAAGCACACACTTAAAGCCTGTTACAAATGGCAGTAACAGAGCTGAAACAAATTACTAAGTAAGTGAGAGAACTTTCTCTTCTTTTACTTCCGTCATTGTTTTTGGAGAGGTAGATATTAATTCTGAACAGAATTTTCAAGAAATTGGGTAAACCAATGGCAAATACAGATATAATCTTGAGGAATCATTGTCCTCTGCTGCAGACTGGATCCCCTCCTCCCATGGACCATAGAGCCTCCAGCTGTGCAGACCACAGCTAGGTAAAGGAAAGAGTGTTGAACTGTCCTGAAGAGAGAGTCCCAGGATCCAATGGTTTTGATTGCTAAACTCAGAGATATACCAGTCCACAATGTTAATCTCTATAACCTGGGCATGATACAGCATGAGGGAGTCTTTCTGAATATTCCATGCATCACAGACATTATTCAAACAACCAGTTTTTATAGATGGGGTGGCAGTCCTTCTCTGGATGAACAGGCAAAACAATGCCCAATACAGGTCAGAGAGTAGAAGGAGAAAGGGCCAATTGAGAATGCTCTACCACAAAAGGAGACAGTCATGTGGTAATTAGGGACAGCTTTCTCTTCCCAAGAGAAAAACACTGAATTCAGAAACAAGAATGAGAAACAAAACTCAAAGTCCTGTTTTCAAGTTCTTCATTTGATCTTCAGAATATTGTCTTTAACGGACATGTGGTGTCATCATGCAGACAAAGACAATGGATATGTTTTCAAGACCCTGTGCAGTTTAGCCTGTCCAAACTCAGGCTGTCCTGACACCGCTGTACTCCCAAGTCAATCCCAGGAAGACAGAACACCAAACCTACCCTTATAGGCAAAGGAAAGATTTTGTTGGGGGTTTTCCTGCTCTGCTCTCTGCCCTGAAAGGATCACAACTCCAGCCTTCTTGCCTGCAGAGCTGGAAATGACTGCAGTGCAAAGGCTGGATGGGAGCAACACCCACTTTCACTGGGCAGCACTGGTGAATTGTCTGCAGATGCACATTGGCCATACAGAGACGTACACTGAGAATAAAGCAAAACACACAGAGCCCACAGATCTCAGATAGAGACATCCAGAACCTCAGAGAGAAAAAGCCCTCTGCTAACAGAACATTGTAACACTGCATTCAGAATTACTTTGCTTTTGTGTGGAAAGAACCGTCATTTCAACAAGTGTGATATTAGTGTACACAACCGTGCCATTGAGCTTTAACAAAGAATAAGCAGTCCAATGTCTGATCTGAAAGCAAGGGAAACAAGAGCATAGTTGGGAGTGCATTCTTAAAGCCTATTAGAAATGATTGTGACAGAGCTGAAATACACTATTGTCTGAAGGAATGAATCTGAGTGCCTTTTTTACCTTATTTCTGTTTTTGGAGGGGAAGACAAATTTGACTCTGACTTAGAATTTGCAGGATACTAACCATGCCAATTTGGAACAAATTTACTCTTGAGGAACCATTGCCACATGCTGTGGCCTGGATCCCCTCCTCCCAAGAGCCATGAAGCCTCTGTCTGTGCAGAGCCAGCTAGTCAAAGGAGGGAGCGTTGAACTGTCCTGCAGAGAGAGTCCCAGCATTGCCTGGGGCCATGTCCTCGGTGCTGACAGGGACATGGGGAAATCCTGTTCATCATCCGAGCCCTGGCCCAGCCCAAAGACAACGTGGAGTCCAGGAGGACAGAGCCCCATGCCTCAGCAGAAGAAACACAGCAGAGACTGGGAGATGGTTACAGCAGGGGCATGCCTATTAACACTCTCCCGGCTGCATCTCCACGTTCAGGGACTCTACCCACCCAACCCTGCTTCAGACAAGGGACACAGCGGGAAAGCAACTCGCAGAATTTTGAAATGCCTTGACAAGGTTGTCCCAGAAAGAACATATTACAAGGACTTTTGTCTCCACTAAAGGAGTCAGGGTGGTCTCTTTATTTCAGTCAAACACAAATTTTCAGATCCTAATCCCAGAATTAAAACAATTTACAACATTAAACTGTATCACTTCAGCACATCAAAATGTGAGAGTGAGGCTTTCTGATTATTTCGTGCATCACAGACATCATTCAAACAACCAGTTATTCTAGATGGGGTGGCAGTCCTTCTCTAGAGGAACAGGCTCAGCACAGTGCTCAGTCCATTTCAGTGGAGAAAGGGCAAACATGGGAATGCAAATGCTTTGAAACAAACACAGAAAATCATGCAGGGACAGCTTTCTAGTCCCATCAAGAAGCCTTGGGATTCAGGAACAACAATGAAAAGACCAATCTCATTGATTATTTTCAATAAATAATTCTTTACTCTTCCTCTCAATAATTAGCTTTTAGTATTTATGGAGTTTTCCTTCAAAGCATTCAAAACCAATGAACATGTTTCTACAATTTTATTCAGGTACAGTCTACCCTAACACCGTTTGTGCTCCTCTATCTCCAAGGCAATCCTGAGATGACAGAACACCCAAGCCCCTCTTCCAAGCCAAGGGAAGATTTTGTTGTGCATTTTGCAGCTCTCCTCTGAGCCAGATTAGGATGATGAGGCTGCTGTTGCCAAAAGATCCAAATCACCTCCTTCCCTGCTGAGCTGGCATTGCCTGTGCTGCAATGGCTGGGTGGGAGCAGCCCCCTGCTTCACCAGGCAGTAATTCTGAAGCATCTGCAGAAATTCACTGTCTGCACACAGAGCTCACATCTCAAAAAGGACATCCAGATCCCAGGGAAGGAAAGCCCTAGTGCACACATAACATTGTGACTCACTACTCACAACTCCCTTACTTTCCTGAAGCTCAAAAAGGGCCTTTTAGCATTTTAGTGAGGATAAGTTTGCTAGTTAAAGGAAAGAGCGTTGAACTGTCCTGCAGAGAGAGCCCCAGCATTGCCTGGGGCCATGTCCTCGGTGCTGACAGGGACACTGGGGAAATCCTGTTCCTCATCTGGGCCCTGGCCCACGGCGCAGTGCTGAGGGGGCAGGCTGGGCAGGCTGGGCTTGAGGAATTTGAACTCGCTGTTGCCCGAGCCCGTGGTCAGGCTGATCTCGTAGCAATAGGCGCGGGGCAGGGTCCCTGCAGCGGCTGCATCGGCCAGGCCGCTCTGCAAGGTGTCGGCAGCATAAAGCACAGGGCCAGCCTTCAGCTCCTTCCTCCTGCACGCCTTGCGAGCGACCAAGACTGCGGTGGAGATGAGGAAGAGGAGTGAGACAAAGACCAAGGAAATGATCAAGTAGGTGGTCAGGGAGCCGCCCTGATCCTCGGTGGCCGGGCTGCTGTGCGGCAGGCGCACGTCTGAGAAGTCCTTGAGCAGCAGAGCGCTCAGAGCTGCCGTGGCTGACAGCGGGGGCTTGCCGTTGTCTCTGACCAGGACAACGAGCTTCTGCTTCACGCTGTCTCTCTCTGTCACCGGCCTCCTCAGACGCACCTCCCCGCTTTGGAGGCCCACGGAAAACAGCCCTGGGTCGGTGGCCCTCAGCAGCTGGTACGAGAGCCAGGAGTTCTGTCCCGAGTCGGCATCGACGGCCACCACTTTGCTGATGAGGTAGCCCGCCTCGGCCGACACGGGCACCAGCTCACTGGAGGCCGGGCTGCCGTCCTGGGCTGGGTAGAGCACGAGCGGGGCGTTGTCATTCTCGTCCAGCACGACCAGGCGCACAGTGACGTTGGCTCTCAGGGGAGGAGAGCCCGCGTCAGAGGCACTGACCGTCACCTCGGTCTGCCTCAAGTGCTCGTAGTCCAGGGGCCGCAGCACAAACACGTGTCCCTTCTCCGAGTCCACAGAGATGCAGGAGCACCAGGCCCGCCCTGCCCCTTGCTCTGGGGCCAGGGAATAGGTCACCTTGGCATTGAGCCCCACGTCAGCATCTGCAGCGCTCACGGCTCCCACAAACACCGTGGGCACGCTGTTCTCACGCACGTACATGCTGTAGGAGGTCTGGTTGAAGACGGGCGCGTTGTCATTGACATCCGAGATGTCCACGGTGAAGGTCTGCGTGCTGGTGAGAGGAGGCGAGCCCGCATCTGCTGCCGTGACACTGAGGATGTACTGAGGCGTCTCCTCGCGGTCCAGCGCGCTCACTGTCACCAGCTCATAGTAATTCTTATAGGCTGGCCGCAGGGAGAAGGAGAGCTGATCCTCCAGGGCACAGGAGATCTTCCCGTTGGCACCAGAATCCCGGTCCCTGACCATAAACAGGGCAACCACCGTGCCGGGCACTGTGTTCTCGGGGAGGGGACTGCTGAAGGAACTGACCACCAGCTCTGGGGCATTGTCATTCACATCCACCACCTCCACCAACACCTTACAGATTGCTGAGAGCCCTCCACCATCTCTGGCCCTAACAGTCAGCTCGTGAGTGTCAGCTGCCTCAAAGTCCAGAGATTTTGTGAGTTTAATTTCACCACTTATGGGATCAATCACAAACGCTGAGTTGCTCTGATGTACTGCTTCATTGAGTTGATAGGAAATTTCCCCATTAATTCCTGCATCCAGATCAGTTGCCAGCACAGTCAGAACCACAGTACCTTCTGGCATGTTCTCCAGAAGCTTTGCAATATAACGCTCTTGCGTAAATTTGGGAGCATTGTCATTCGCATCTAGAATGATAACAGAGATCTCGATGGTCCCACTTCTAGGAGGAGAGCCCCCATCCACAGCAATAACACTGAAACCCATCTCTGCCTGATCCTCTCTGTCTAGTGGCTTTTCCAAAACAAGTTCTAGATATTTGTCATCCTCAGTACGACTCCCATAGGAGACACTGAAATACTCGTTCTTGGGAGCAATTTTGTACTCCTGAACTGTGTTGCTGCCAATATCGAGGTCGTGAGCAACCTCCAAAGGGAAACGTGAACCCGTGTCGCTTGTCTCTGGGATGTCAAAAGTGACTCGGTCTTCTCGGAAAATAGGTGAATGGTCATTGATGTCCTCCAGAGCCACCTCGACGCGAAAGAACTGCAGGGGGCTGGAGAGCAGCAGCTCGAAGGGGAGCATGCAGGTGGCGGACTGGCCGCACAGCTCCTCCCGGTCCAGCCTCCCCGCCACGACGAGGCGGCCGGAGGCGCGCTCGAAGCGAAAATGCTGCCGGCCGTCCTCCGAGACCAGGCGGGCGCGGCGAGCCGAGAGCTGCGCCGGCGTCAGCCCCGCATCCTCCGCCAGCTTGCCCACCAGGGAGCCGCTTTCCGCCTCCTCGGCTACGGAGTAGCGGATGGGCTCGGCGCGAGCGAGCGGCAGCGACAGGAAAGCAGAGAGACAAAGCACTTGCCTTGCGAGCGCCATGGCGCGGCGGCGGCGGCCGGTGTGGGTCTGCCGGCGGGTGTCCCGGGCGATTCCCCGCGGAAAGCGGCGAAGTGCGGGGCGGGCGCCTTCCCTCGCTCGCTGTCTGAGATTGCGGCCGGCGCTCCGTAACGCAGCCGGGCTGTCCCGGCAGCGGGTGACACGGGGCAGCGGTCGCTGCCGCAGCCGCTGCCACCTCCGCCCGGGTGAGCTGCACCGGTCTAAGCTGAACTGAGCTGGGCCGGGCAGGGCTGGGCTGGGCTGGGCTGGGCTGGGCTGTGCCGCTCCGGGCCGAGCTCGCTCGGGCTGTGCCGCTCCGGGCTCGGCCGCCTCCGCTGCCGCAGCCGCTCGGCGCCGCCTTGGCCGAGGGCACCACCCAGCGGTGCGCGCTGGCACTGCAGCCGCCGCCGCCCGCAGCCCGCGCTGCCGCTCGCCCCGGCCCGCGGTTCCGAACCCACCGAGACACCGGGGCCGGGAACGGAGCGCCGCGGTAACCAGGGCAGCATAAAGACGAGGCTCAGCTCACAACGACCAAGCCGCATTCTACCGCAGTAGAATCAGCACAGGGATAGGACGATGATGAGAGCACTGGCATGCCGATGAACACTCTTATGACTGCATCTCCATGCTCAGGCGCTGAACCCACCCAACACTGCTTCTGTCAAGGGACACAGTGAGAAAAAGACTCGCAGAATCTTGAAATACCTTGAAGCATCTTACCCGGAAAGAAAGTGTCCAAACAACTTCTCTTGTCACGAAAGGAATTAGGGTCTTCTTTTTATTTCAGTCCAACATATTTTTTCAATTGACAAAACACGGAGCTAAAGCAGTTTAAAACATTAATCTCTTTAACTTCTGCAGAAAACTGCATGAGGGAGGCTTTCTGAATATTCCATGCATCACAGACATCGTTCAAACATCCAGTTATTCCAGATGGGGTGGCAGTCCTTCTCTAGAGGAACAGGCTCAGTACAGTGCTCAGTACATTTCAGTGGTTCGAAGGAGAACGGGCAAACGGGAATGCAAATGCTCTGACACAAACACAGAAAATCATGTGCGGACAGATTTCCACCCTCATGAAGCGTTGGGATTCAGGAAGAACAATGAACAGAGCGATCTGAACATCTGTGTTTTAAGTTCTGCTAGACTCTTCCTTCCAATAATTGGCTTTTAATATTTGTGGATTTTTCCTTCAATGCATTCAATGACAATGAACATGTTTCTGTTACATGTTACAGCTCTGTTCAGGTACAGTCTACCCTAACACCTTTTGTGCTGCTGTATTTCCAAGGCAATCCTGAGGTGACAGAACACCCAAGCCCTTCTTGCAAGCCCAAGGAAGATTTTATTTTTTAATTTTGTTGCTGTGCTCTGGCTAGATAAGGAAGATGAGACTGCTGCACTGAAAGGGCCCAAACCCTTCCTTCCCTGCTGAGCTGGTGCTGCCTGTGCTCCAATGGCCGGGTGG